TACAGATCAAGTTTCACCTGGAAACAAACAAATTTACCGCCCCTTCAAATTTTGGCTTTGACCCCCTGTACTGCAAATAGGCAGTTCGGACTTCAAGCTCATTTTGTTTTAACTGGTCACAAATTTGCTTTTTTAAAACTATGTTAACTGAAGTTTATTGAACTGATGTCGGATCACACTTGCATTACTTCCACGTTGCAAGACATGAAAATCTTAGAATTTAAAACATCAGTTGGTCCATCCAAGCATGGGAAATGGAATTTGAAGGCCATTGACAACTTCACATGAAATCTAAGCTGCGTTGAAATCCCATCTCACAGTATGTGGTCAATTTCGTTGTGTTTCCTCTGGGTTTACGTGCTTTCTTGGCAACCCACTTGATTTCCTCGGGAACTGTCGGGGAATTCCACCAGTCCTTAAAGAGGATATCTCTCTCATATTGTAATCATCCACAAAGAGTCGCAATTTTGAACAATGAATTCTCTGGAATGGACTATCAGATAAGTTTATCTATAGGCCTACTTCTGAATTGTATGAAAATATCAGGACACCTCTTTTAAGGTTACAATATTTTTTTATGTATACCCTTTTCACTGCATTCAATATCTGTGTTACTTCGTGACAGTAGAGGGCATTGTTGCTGTAGCAACAGTTCCGACATCCCATCATACTTTGCTGGGAAAAAATGTTTCAACCTGATGCCACTTTTTTCTTCATATATCATCTCAATGAAGGTCAGTCATTGCAAAATTGATAAGCTATGAATATGGGACTGAGAAACATTTCCAATTTTGTTAGGAAATTATACGAATATACTTAGACAATTTTTTTGACTCTCCATAGACTTTTTACACAACCGCTGAATATTTACTGATTCTTTGAAGAAAAGCATACGGCATATCAGTTTGTTCACAGTTAAATTCTGTGATAAATTTCCTAAGAGTGCCCTTTTAAGGGCTCAGTCCCAATTACTGACCCTACGAAACTTGGTGTACATGTTGTAGAGTTTTCAGTCATTTCCTTTATTTTGACCTTGGTCATGTTGGTTGCTAGACAAGTGAAAATGTGTAAAATCAATTTTCTGAAGATAGATTTCGGATTGGTCAGTAAATTTAGGTTTTGATATCTTTCTCGGGAAAAAAAATACTGTAGGTTCGTAAAGTATGTCAAGTTTTTGTTCGTTTTCTTTATTCATTGATAAGATTACACGTGTACATGTACAATGTACAGTATGTGTGAAGTGGTATCATGTGAGTAGCTGTACTTGAATTGTCAAAAGAGGGCGCTATTGCAGTATCCTAGTGCATTTTGTGAAATAGGATTTCCTGAAAGAGAAGATGGACTATTGCTAACCAACTTGCAAGTTCCTTGTATTACGCATAATGTGAATAACCACTCCTAGCACGCTTAATTGTGACATCTGATAGTGAAACCTAACTTGTTTCCTTGTGTGGTTTGTTGCTGTGGCTACATTTTTCCTGGAATAAGACTCTTTCGTGTGACCCTCCTATCATCCATGAGATTTATTCTTGTAATTGTAAATAAGATTTTAACACAATAATTTCATCATCACAATAATCCCCCCCCCCCCCCCCCCCCCCGGAAAAAAGAATTCAGAATCTCCAAGTGCAGCTGCATGTTCACCCATTCTCGTTCCGTAATTGTGGGGACTTACACTCGTCTGTGCAAGGTATTTGTGGGGACCGAATATGCTATGGGGACAGCAGAAAGTCCACATAACTCGGTCCTAATTTGCCTAACAATAAAAAACTTCCCATAACGCGGTGTATGCCTACCCACTAGTGTTGTCAGAGTACAAGCATACATATTTTTGGTCTTAATTAAGTCAAGGTACAAGTATAAACTTGTACGGTCGAGTCTCGTTATAACAAACTCGTTCGGACCTAGCCAAATTGTTTGTTATATCAGAATTTTGTATTAAGAGGAACATCAGTCCCATTCATTGTGCATATAAATGCACAGTCGGGACTAAGGCTTTATGTTTGTTATAACCAGAATTTTGTATTAACAGAGTTTGTACTAACGAGAGTCGACTGTACTTGTATTTTTTCAAACAGGATTACTGTAGCTTTAGAAGTGCACAAACTGTACAGTCATTTGTAAAGACACGTGTACACAGCTGCGAATCCATGGGTGCGTGCGCGCTCCTTCACTAACCCCTGGCTGTGAGGGATTTGTAAATGATGCTGACCGGCTATTCAGAGCGTACTGCCCTCGTATTTCGAAGATTGCACGCCCTATAATGCGCTTGCACGTTATCTCCTGCACGTCAATTTTTCCCAACATTTTTTTTTAAGACTGCATGATGCCTTTACGATATGGATTATTGAAACCTCGTTTTGCGCCCCGAAACATCTGTATATTGTGTTGTTAAGGGACGACAGAGGTACGTACATTTAATATAAATCCTGGCTAAATAACGCGACGTCAAAATCTCATGTTTGAAACGATTGATTCTACAAAAAAAAACATTCAAAATTTTAAGCCCTGCTTCGTGCATCAGATGCATCGACTGCAGTCCTAATTTAAATGTGCCAAAAAGTGGGACATTTAAATTACACAATTCCAGGGATTAAGATCGTGCAAGGCATGATGGAACATGGCGCAGCAAGATCGTACCCATGGAAACGAGGTTGACATGCACATTATGAAGTTGCATTGTTGTTTTACAGTGTACCACATTGTCATACATTGTATAACAATGTACCACATAGTTATACATTGTATAACAATGTACCGCATTGTTATACATTGCATAACAATGTACCACATTGTCATACATTGTATAACAATGTACCACACAGTTATACATTGTATAACAATGTACCACATTGTTATACATTGTATAACAATGTACCACATTGTTATACATTGTATAGAAATGAAACCACAGTTTCTGCTACTGTCCCCATTTTATAGTACAAGCTAGCAAAATCCAACCCAAAATAAACATGTATGCTGCATGTCTTACACTTGTTATCGGTTAGGCCATAATACATGTGTACAATGTGAAATCAAATACATGTATTTTTGACACTTCAAGAGTGTTGACAAATGCAAAACATGCAGTCTTTTGCTAGAACTTTTTTTTTGTGTATTCAGAAAAAAATAGCACCTGAGATGTCGACTTTTTCTCCAGGCATATCAATTTCTGGTAGCAAAATATTTGCACTGAATTTCAGGGTCTTGTTGGGCTTACAATTATTTAGTCAGAAATCTGCGAACAACCTTCACAGTTTCCATGTTGATAGAAAGCAACATTTCAGTTTCTCTGCGTGCCTCCACAACATGTACCAGTAGTGTATTACTATTAGGATCTGTTAAAGGGAATATATAACATTTGCAAACATCGACAAATAAAACTACCAAGTTTTTACGAAATACCTCACTAGGATGTTGGTTAATGACAGTCTAAAGCATCCTGTAAAATTATGGCACTTGGTGAGAAGTCATTTTCAAGAAAATGGTATTTTTGTATAAATTTCCAACGGTGGTCGGCCGACCACCGTTGGAAAAACCTAACTATTTTTCAACTACTGCTCCAAACTTACCATTTTGTTCAGTCAAAATTTTGTTTGCTATTGGTTACATGTTCATGAACGGGTGCAGGCCAGCTAGACTGGTTCCCTGACCTAACAATTTTCCGGCATCTATAAATTGATCCATTTCATCTTTAGTGGAGTCAGGGAACCAGACTACTTGAACGTTTTTGTTTTTCTTGGCTTTTCCAGCATTTTCGAACTCAAAACTTCAAACATGTCAGTGTAACAATGTTTGATCTATTATACCAACCCCTCAAATAGTTCATTTTTAAAAATAACAGCAAAAGCCAATGATGTACATTCCCTTTAAACATGCTCAACTTGAAAGTGGAAGGAAACATGGCACGGTGCATCCTCGCCTAGTATCATTTACTAGCTGTTTATCATATCTGACTCTGTTTTTTTTTAATTTTGAAATTACTTCCTCCTTCGTCCCATTATGCATCGGAATTTAGCACCACTGTATGCCATCAGAGCCTGAACATTATTTGTTTTGTTTTGAAACAGTTGCGACAGTATTTATTACTGTTTTATTTCCCCTACTTGTACTTGTGGTGTTGAAATTGGCCCGCTCTACGTGTGTGTCTACCTTCTAGTCATGGCCGTGTGCGGTTTAGGTTTAAGGGAAGTGCAAACAAAAATGGACTGCATAAATTACCGACCAGATCAAGTCTGTTTCCTCTGAAAAGCCCCAACCAGGAAGACGTTCAGAGATGCCATCAGCAGTTGGTTTCGAGTAAAGTGCAGAGTTCATATGTAGAGCGCTGTCGTGTGTTTTTTACTTCAAGCGTTCCAAAAACTTACAAAAAAAACGTGTGGTGTACACATGAACCGGGAGTTTGTAAAGTTTGAGGCTGCCGTGACAATACCTTTTTGTCCGGGTGATCATTTTGCGGTACATGTGGTGATTGTAAGGGAAAGTTTTGAACTTGGAGTTCATTCAGTAGTTGCTATTGACCATGTAGACATTCTAGGAAGCCAGGCAGTACCATGCCTTGAAAATGGAAGTTGAAGACACACGCAATGCATTACAGTGGGTTGGAAATGCCACCGGGCTACAGCACGGGTACCGGCGATCGTCCGACGGATCAAACCTCTACATCAGTGGGACTGGAACCTGAAGCAGTTTGGTTACCGGCGGATTCACACATGAAGTGAAACAATTTTCGGACAATTTGAATTTTCACCATGTTCACGGAGTGACTTGAGTTGGAGTCGAACCCATCAGCAGAACCATTTCAATCCACCAGTCACAGAAAAAAAGAGAGTTTAAGTTGGGTTCGAACCCGCACCAAGCTTTTTGTCATCTTGTGGTTCGTACAATAAACACACGCATCATGTGATTCTTAGGTCCAGTTTGGAAACTTCACAGAACTCATCCTGTAGGATACTCTTTAACTACAAGTCGTCAAGTTTGTGGGCGAAAAAAAAATTGAGATGCCGTCGAAAAAGGGTAAAAGGAAAGGGGGTTCAGCCTCCTCAAATCAGTCTCAGAATTCCGTCAACAGTCGGCCGATATCTTCAGTCAGCGGTGTTAGTGTCAATCGGATGTCCATGTATGGAGAGCAGTACGGACAGCAGTACGGGCGGCCGTTTTTCGACCTCATCTTGAAATATTTACTGGTCGGGGATTCCGAGGTTGGCAAGTCGTCGCTCGTGTTGCGCTTTGGGGATGATCATTTCAGAGAGAACTTTGTGTCGACTATTGGTGAGTTACATTGGGAGACCCTGGAAAAGTTGGAAACGGCATACTTACGGCTGTGTATAAACATGTACGAATATACACGTCAGTACCTAGTTTTACTAGTTTTGTACATGTACATGTAGGTCTGAATATTGTAGAGGCACGCATTGTACATGTACAGTCATGAACATGTACATGTACGTACATGTCCTCCAGCAAGTTTAAATATGATAAAGGATATACCGGTTTGCATGTATTTTAACATGTACAATGTACATGAACATGTCCCACTGTACATGTACATGTACCTTTAATTCATGTATCATGTTCATACTCTGCTACATGTACATACATGTACATGTACAGTATGTACATGTACATGTATATTGGTATTTCACACCATTGAGTACAGAATAAAATACATGTTTTACCAGGTCAACAGAGGGCAGCAGCCAAGATGGTATTATCACACTATTGAGTAATATGACAAATTATTACAAGGTCAACAGAGGGCAGCAGATAGGAAAATAATATAATGCTTACTATGGTAACTTTTGGTTCTGCACGTGATTGTGCGTCACCAAATATCCATTAACCATTGATCTTTTTATCAGTCCCACAAGCAGGAAGTTTGGTCAAAGTTACAGCAGGTTTTTTGCCCATGATGAAACTTTATCACATGAACAACACACATGTAGGGTACTTGTTTTTCTAACCACTCAAGTAGGCATGTGATCATGCGGACTTTATTTTTTGACCCCAGAACTTGCAATTTGATTGGTTTGTATATTGCCTCATACCAGGGCACTGGGCACACGTGCTTAAATGTTTTTAGCCTTTTTTTTTCAGCCCAAAGTGAAAGAAAGCGACAATTTAACAAGTAGTGCGATTTTAAGTTCTTTTCTGGAACTTTCCACTTTCATGCGTAGGGCAATCTTGTGTACACCAATGTGCAATATTTCCACAAATTTTCAGAAACTTTGTAGACCTGTCTAATTTGGTATGATCACAGTTCGGCAAATGGCATCTTTTCTACCAGATCACCGTCTTATTTGTTAAACGTTTCTGAGCTGCATTTTGCACTTAAATGTACATGTCCATCGACTGCCAACATACCCCGCGCTACTGGGGTCAGTACACCAGCGGTCAGTCGGCCAATAGGGTCATTTCTATCTTGGTCATCGGAGAAAGTGCTTGCGGAAAAACTGCACTGGGCGCTCGCTTTGTTGACCACGTCTTCGAGAGACAGCCCGTGCCAACTCTTGGTAAATGCAAAGGCTTGTTGTGCTTTTTTTTCTCAGGCTTTTTCCTCCACCTCAGAATTGTTTTGAAATTTGCTAAACTTGTTTCAGTTGTAAAAATAAATTAGAGTAATTGTTGTGACATTGAAAATACTGGTAACGTGATCTTATATCATACAGTTTTGTTATTGGTGAGGAATACATGTACATGTACATTATGATTTAGTTTACTTGAGCAGATCAAGTTGTCTATTTCTGATGGGCAGTTTTATTTTATACGGTAGATGCCCTGATTTGAATCGTTAAAATAATCGATAAGTGATCAGTGTGTTTGGTGGACGCCCATATTAGTCGGCACTAAATCAATCATGTGGCTATGGTAGTGCACACATACCGAACACATAACTGTTTGATTTAACAATTATCAGTCTCATATAAAGATGTGATTAGGGGCATTTGGTATGCCTTATAAGATAAGCAGTGATTAAATAAGAGATGACACTTTTTTTTTTTAATTTTGAGAGAAAACTTTTGAAAAACATCATTTAGTATTACCTTTTCCTGATACATGTACAGTATGTTTGAATTGTTAAGCAGATTTTTTTGGAAATGGCTGTTTATTTTCCTGTGACCTCCAGGATAATTCCAGAGGTCGCAGGTTCAATCTCGCTCCAATTAATTTCTGCGTTCAACTTTATAATCTGTAAGCCCCCTATTTCTTTGTGATATTGTGTGCGCACATTTAAACCCAACTTTCCCCTTGACTTCCTTTTGCTTCATGTAAAAAAAACCCTTGACGCTTGCTCTCCTTTGTGTTAACTTCCCTGAATATGATCGACTCATGCTCACGAAACAAAAAAAGCGGGAAAGGGACAGGGACAACAAAAAAGTTTCAAGGACCAGATTTTCACGCTTGAGAGTACACCAACCCTAACTTTGTTTCTTTAAGGCCGGCCTTGTGACACCATGCATAGGTGCATGGAGCTATGGAAAGCCTCACACGCACACATACACAGGCACAAGCTGGGGCCTTCATTTGAATAATCTTTTGACACCATGCAAATAGCCCCTATGGTCTACTGGAGATACTCTATGGTGTTTCTTAGTGTGATACAAGTTTGATTCAAAGCGATATTCACCTGACAAGGAAGGGCAGTGGTAGTCATGTGCTTATTGTACACTAAAGGGAACAGGGTTCTGCAGTACAAAGCAGTACGTCTCTCTTCTGTACATGCGATGACGTCACTGTTGTTACCAGCCAAGGTGTTCACTGTATGACCATTGAGGAATAAGAACTGGCCTTCCCTTTGCTCGTGTGGACAGACATGGGAATGTCTTGGAACTGGGCAGCACCACTGCGACCTATGGATTGTGGAATTTCTTCCTGGCTGCTCTACACATAGATCTTAGCTCTGCAAAAGTATTGACCAGCTCCAGTTGTGGTGGTGTGGTGTTAATGTTGCACCAGTTTCAACCTCTGTTCATGAGGTTTTGCTTTTCAGGAATTCACAGTCAACTGCAGGTTATCCTAACTAATCACTTGATGCTGTTGTGCATGTATATGGTCACTTTGTGAAGATGGAGAATTTTCCGTGTTTGTCTGGAAGGAAGGATAAATTTACGATCGTCCTCACGTTCATGTGAAGATCTGATTTGCTGCATCAACTGATCAGCCACTCCAAACAGAATTTTCAAAGGAGGCGAAAAGGTGGAAAATTTTGAACAGCACTGGCCACAATATTTGTTGGGCTGCCAAGAATTGGCTTTCTCCGCGATTTGCGTTTGATGGGCGCAATTTAACGTGTGAACGAAAGGGAAATTGAAGTTGATCGGAAGTTCAGACGGTCGGGCCATTTTGTCTCCCTGGTACGCCCGGCGTACCATGGGAAGCAATGGAAAGAAATGGAGGACTACAACGCCATTTATATGACATGCTCTGCAAGCTGATCGTGGTCGGCGACAGCTTTGTGGGCAAGAGCGCCATCGTGGGACGATTTACGATCAATGCCGACCCCACCCAGCGGCACTATCACTCCACCATTGGTAAGGCTGGATATCGTTGGATCGTGGTGCTGTGAATTTTTTGTAAAACCTGAAGGAACAAGTGTTTGCATGCATGTACATGTACTGTACATGTATCCCCATATAAAAAGGCATCAATGTGTCTCAAGTACACTATTTAGAGCCACACAGCGTTGCGTGCTACATTTCCTGAAAAGTTGTGTTTCCTAATTTGAAATCCAGACTTTTTTTATTTGCTATATTAAAAGCTACTTACTGGTAAATAACTAGCAACTATTCACCTCTAGACTTCTACTTATTCTGGGAAAGTGTTCTATACCTTGACATCACTTGACACCCTGTGCACAAACGCTATGAGACAGGTCTGAACAATTCCAAGTGTTTTCTCAGTCAATGCTTCAATGTTTTCCCTGCAAAATTTGACTTTTAGGACACGTTATTGCTTTCTGATGGCTGATAGGTTCACTATGCAGGGAAAAAATTATGGAATTCTTCCTGTTATGCTGTTATTTACAGGAGAAATTTGGAGTGTTTGCCCGAAATAAAATGTTTACAAAATTTTTTTCTCAAAAGAAAATCCTTCAAAGTAGGTGTGGTCGGACTACTTTCAGGTACGGTATCAAAAAAAATCTTAAAACAAGTTAAGTTTCAGAGAATGGGTAGTATGCCTCATGCAGGTGTGTAATATCATTGTACTATTGTGTACACAATCTGTAATACATTTCAATAGGCAAGTGTTCATGTATGTATGTAGTTGCCATGACTCATGTATAATCCTGGAACACGCCTGGCTTTTGTAAATGTACCATCACATGTGACTATTGCTAGCTTATCAGTAATTTTCCAATTGGATTAGCTAATAGTTGTCAACTTATGTTTACTTTGTATTAACTTTTTTTCCACCTGTGGCCTTTATGCTACATTAACATGTGTAGTTTGTCGGGATCCATCTACATGTAAATGGCCAAGTAAGAAGAGTTTGCCTTGTTATTCCAGCCAAGGATTCTCCTCTGGCAAATGCAGTGCACATTTTTCAGGCGCGACTTAAATTTTGGATTTTTTGGGGGTGAATGGACCCAGTTTTGTACAAGGTGACTTGAAATGTCTTTTACATTGTAGCATTGTTTATTACTCAATGCAGCAACAAATAATTTGTAGCTTTAAAAAAAAAGGTTCTCTCGAATTCAGGTAAAACCTTAAAATGAGTTTCCATATTTCCATGCGGGGAAAAGTCAGAGAATTTGGGGAAAAAAACAAAATCATGAAATTTGACAGTGGCCCAGATGGAAAAAGTTTTTCGCCAGTCAGGCGTATGTGCCTCTCTGTTGCATATGGTGAGGAAACGATGGCTGTAGGGGAGAAGGGAGGCCGTTGCTTGTCAACAAGTTGCTCGTGTATTACATGTATCTCAGTTACTTTGCCACAGCCACGTCTTGACCTCTAGTCCTAGCAAGCTTGTTAAAGTGAAAATATGTCTCCTGGAATTATGGAAATTTCTCAGGGGAATTTCAGGAAAAAAAAATCAGGTTTTATTACTTCATAGAGTACTAGGAACCCCATAGAATCAACTACAATGTACCGGTACTGTTCTTGCTGGGAATGAGCCCACATTAAAGGGAGCTGTATTTTGAATTTGATTGATTCTGAAACTTTTCCATTTGTGTCTTTGTCTAACCAGGTATTGACTTCAAAATCAAGACAGTTGAATTACAAGGCAAGAAGATCAAACTTCAGATATGGGACACAGCAGGCCAGGAGCGATTTCACACCATCACCACCTCCTACTACCGGGGAGCCATGGGCATCATGCTGGTCTATGACATCACGCAAGAGAAGACGTTTGATAATATCGCAAAATGGCTACGCAACATTCAGGAGGTTAGCCCCACTCCTATGTGTACATGTATATCACCCCACCCTGCCCCATCCCACCCCATCCCACCCCAAGCCCATCCAACCCTGACCCCACATCACCCCCAGCTTATCCCCACACCCACATCCATCCCCACTCCCACCCCCCCCCCCCCCCCCCCCACAACACCCACACTCCCCCAGCCCCCAACACCCCACCCCATCCCCATTTCTACCCCCATCCCTACTCTCATACCCTCCCACCCCACCCCCTCCTACCCTCACCCATCCCACCTCCACCCACCCCATCTCAAACCCCACCCCATCCCCTCTCCCACCCCTCCCAACACCCACTCCCAACCCCTCCCAACCCCTCCCAACCCCCACTCCCAACTCCCACTCCCATCTGCACCCCCACTCCCACACACCCATCTTTGTAAACACCAGCAATTCTGGACTTCCTATTGTCCCTAATCCTCATTCTTTTGTTTGCACTTAACAGCTGTCATTGGTTTTGTACACAAATTTCAATCGTGGACGTTCGGTCAATCATGGACCCTTTGTTTATGCCCTAACCCTTTTGTCCCTAGTCCACGATTGCCGGTGTTTACATACTCACACCCCCACTCACACCCCAATCTTATCCACACCCCTATCCCAACCCCATAACTAAGCAACTTTTGCCAACATTTTATTTGTCTCTAAATTTCTGGCTCATTTCCCAAATAAAAAAAATGGACAGCTTTAAAATTCCCTTCTACAAAACTTTAGGCCAAACAGTCGTCATGCCCCATGCAGAGGCCACATACCGTGCCAGGGCCATGCCATTCGAAATCAATGCAATTTTCTCATCAAAACTAAATCAAGGTCCATAATGTTCACAGTGTTCAAGCCATTACTGCAGGGATATCACATACCTGAGGGCTGTTGGCATTTCAACTCAAGAAATTAAGCTTGATGCTGCATTTATTACTAAGGAGTTTCCAAGTGGGCCTACATGTATACTGAATCTAGAACTGCTATGGAATGTTTTAGGCGCGTAATTCTTTGTGCTGGCTTATTGGGTACATGACTATTGTACATGGGTCATTCTTTAAATGTTGGGTCCCTTTTTCCCCCGTCCATCTTAAATCTGGCATCTATGAATTTATAATTCTGATGCACTCCTTAATGCAGTCATTTTCCAAGAATGATTATGAATAGCAAACTACCCACCCAACATATTAACCCTAACCACCCTGAATCCTTCAAAATCCTCTTTGCCAAAGTGGAGGAATTTGGAGGATTGAGGTTACAATGTACATGGCAAAAGTGCGTTACTGATTTCCTAGTATGCACTTTGTCAAGGTCTTGGGCCGGACCTTGTGTTGTTTTTGCTCAGCCATGCATAAATATAGGCCTAGATTATGCTTGAAATCCTCCATTGCTCCAGGATGTCACTGGCCAAGCCTCAACATATTGACAGTCACTGCTGCAGGATTTTGCAGGATTCAGGCAGTGGTCACCCCTCCATGGACCATATTCAAGAAATAATGGAGGAATTTGCAGGATTGAGGCTGTATGCTATTTTTCCATGAGGCCAGTTGGAGGATTTTGCAGGATTGAGGCTACATCCTAGCACAAAGGCGTAGGGCGTTAAGGTTAATGATACTTGATGGGTGTTAATGATGCTTGAATGTCAAATTACAAAGTACCCGCATAGCATGCACTGCAGTACGGGAGATTTCAAAGCAATGCCTCGGCATTAGCTTTCAAATCTAAAGCAAACATTGAAATTTTGGTCAGAGTTTCAGATACCCGTTTTCCCTAATTGGTCTATTGAAAGTTTCATCCGACCAATGGAATGTCTTCTTTCATTTTCCCTTTTCCCCGCAGCATGCAAACGAAGATGTAGAAAAGATGCTATTGGGTAACAAGTGCGACATGGAGGACAAGAGGATGATCAGCAAAGAGAGGGGAGAGAACGTGAGTAACCATGGCGATTGGTTGACCTCTGTGAGGTCACAGAGGTCGGGGGTCACGCAAGCTAAGAATGATCCCAAACATTGTCCCGAGGTTTTACTGTCTGTTTTTTTTTTTATTGAAGGCAAATAGGATCATTTACCCCAAAAGTAACCGACCAAATTATTATGGAGAAAAAGTTACACCCCATGAAATTATTCTGTCTGGCTTGCTGTCATTTAAAAGAAATCAAGAAATGTAGGTGATTTCCAACGATCAGTCAATTGACTGATTTTTGGAAATAAAGAGTGCTATGGACGAAATTGTGTTTCGTGATCAAAACATTGTGCAGGATTTTTCACTGTTGTCTCCAAAAGTGAAATATCCACCGAGTTGAAACTTCAACAGGTTGGGTTTGGAGTATTTTTCTTTGGATTTTGAGAGGTGTTATTACTGGAAACGAACAAATTGCATGTTAAGCAATAATCCTACATGTGTAAGTGTTTAAACCTTTTCATATTGTCCTTTCTTTCAGATTGCGAGGGAGAACGGCATCAAATTCCTAGAAACCAGCGCTAAAGCAAACGTCAATGTCGAAAAGGCTTTCATGACGCTCGCAGAAGACATCCTAAAGAAGGTAACAAGACGGTAATCTTGTCTCAAAAATAGAAATCAAGTTTATTGACAAGTATGTCAGAAGTAACAGTCCTTGCCAGTTTTGCAGGCATCTTGCAGAAGTGGTTTTCCAGAATTAGTATTATTATTTACTATTTCTGGTATCGAAACCGAGGATCCCTCAAAGTGTCCCAGGCACTGTAGCTCACAAGCCTGAAGAAACCTGTGGAGAGATAACAATGAAGAAATTACAGTTTAAGAGTTTGGAGGAAAACCCCAGAAGAATATTCTGGAGAAAACCACAGAATCAGGAAGGGACTGAAAACCCAATCCACATATTGGCCCAGGCGGGATTCGAACCCGAGTCACAGCGGTGGAAGTCGAGAAAAATACCGCTACGCCAACCTGACTCCCCTATAGTTATTCGCTTCCATTTTGTGTTTTTGTTTGTGGCCATTGCCAGTTGTTTTTTTTTACACCCATTGGTTGTTTGCATTTTGCCTTTTTGTAAATTTTTCTGAAGGGAATCTAACAAGCTGCATTGATCAATTCGTGGAGTGAATCAAGAAAATTGATAACGGCAGGATTTGAACTTGCTGCCTTCCAAAAACTGCACAACAGCGGTTTTGTGGTTGCCGGTTTGATTTCCAACTGTGGTCACATTTATTGTTAATTCCTTCAAAGATAACTGAGTGGGGATCTCTCTTGGAAAACCACGTGATAGCTCAAGTCTTTTTCTTTTCTCTTCTCTTTCGCAGTACCCACAGCAGAAAGACCCAGCAAGCGGAACAGGCGGCAACATCAAACCAACGGGCGACGACGGGAGCGGGTCAAGAAAATGCTGTTAAATTCCACTTCTGTCTCGTCACCCGCCCACGTTCTCTCTTTCTCCGCCCCCTCCCCCTCCAACAACTTCTTCTGTCGCTGTCAAGTTAAACATCTTACAGGAAAATCACTGGACATTCATTTTTTGCTTTGCTGTGACCAGATGTGTTTTTTTTTTAATTGCGTAGTGTGTATGTAACTCTTGAGGGCGCTGTTTCAGCTGTAGCTGCATTTTTTGTGCATGTGGGCACCGCACACTTACTCGACACCTCTGTGACGGTTGTTGAATGTGGCAGATAATAAATTACTGCCCGACTATCACGGCAAAACCTACGGTGCCCCGAAGGTTCACTCCACCATGTGCTCTGTTTCATGTAAAGAAACAACCCACTTTTGACAAGCCAGCCTTTTTGTGTCCATGTAAACTGTACTCTTATGTTAGGTCAGAGTGAAGCAATGTTAAGAGAGTGTCAATTGAGGAGAAAAGTTTGAAGCTTTGAAAAAGCTTATGTTCGGAGGGACCTTTTAAACAAGTTGTTTGTTTGTTTGTTTGCTTTTTTTGTTACATTTTGGTTGTCTTCCAGAAGTTCCAATCTGCTTTTGTACTCAGACTTTTGTGGGTTCATTTGAGCTGGAAAGTGTGGTGTGCATGTCAGTTAATGACAGCGCTTGACGATTTTGCTCAAAACTGTAAGCAATTGTTGCCGTGGGGCTGTCGTTTCTGAAACTGAGGTTGCCACAAAAGTGCCCGATTTGGTTACAACAGATATGTAGTACCGTGGAATAATTGGAAATATCAGACCACGGTCTCATGTCCTTTGCATTAGAAAAGGCAGTTTTTTTTTTGTTTTTTTTTTAAATCGCAGTTTCAGTCAATCTGCATGAGGACCACAGAAAAACAAATGGACAACATTGCTGGATAACCCAAGAATTTCCACAAACATTTGGCTAGTCTGTCTTGCCGTTTCTAGGATGGGTAATAATGTTTTTATTCATGGCGGCGCACAGAAAAATACTTAGATCCACAGAATTTTTTTTACGATGAATTGTGCAGGCAAACTTTATAAATGTTCAACAAAAATGACGGCGACTTTTTTTTTCTCTCTTCTACGCCACACTTTTCTGTATAGAAATGTCTCTCTTTAAAAAGCATGTGTTGAATAAGCTGGAAGCTTTTGCTCATGCATAGTAAACAAAAATGAGAGAGATATATTTTTGGGTGTTTCAACTTTTTTTTTTTAAATTTAGTTTTAAGGTCGTATAATTATGACACATTAATGATATATAATGATACCGACATGTTCGAGAGAATTTGTACAGTATTAACGATGTTTAAAAAAACAAAGCATAAACAAAGCTTGTGGATGGAATAACCAGTTGTATGCGTGCATTTTACACAAACTTGTACTGGCGTTACACGCAAAAACTTAAAACAAAAAAAAAGAAACAAAACAAATTTTGCGTGACAAAATGTACTTGTGCAATTGTTTTCCTCGTTTATGTTAAATGTCTAATCTTGCATTTGGAGCCTCCTGATTGTAGTTAGCGGGATTGATTAAATATATGCTCCGGGGAAATTTGCCTCGAAAAATGTAAATTGTCACAACAGCTGTAAGATAAAACTGGCGACTTTTTTTTTTTCTAGTAAATTCACGTACTGTAGTGTGTTAGCAATTTTGGACTTGTAAATTTCACACAGCAATTGATGCATCCGCCATTTTGACAACTCTACTTTGATGGCCGCAACCACACCAGGTGGAAAAAAAATATATATCCAACTCGAAGGTCCTGGTCTTCCACAGTTGTCGGAGTGGTTTCCCAAGTCATAATTAGCAAAATGCTGTTAACGTGAAACCCCTCCCCCCATCAATTGGGAAATAAGGCAGCCATCTTGGTAGTGTTCCCAGAAGTCACACTGCAAGCATGTAAGGTTGAGATCACATGGTATGGGCACCAGATTATTACAGTTATTTTCACTTTTATAGAAAGTGTCTGCTAACTGGCCTTATGTTCGCCTAACTGCAGTATTTTTGCCCAAACCGATCTGTTTGAATGTTTCTGATAATCATGTAGACTTCAGTGGCTCACAACTAGTAATTTATGGCCCAGCAAAGCATGCTGGGTATTAGTCTGATTTCCGGTCCCTCCAGTGTCCTTCGGACCCGTATTTGTGGAGGGCGGGGACCAGTCTAGCTGGGTATTTCTGCACCTAGCGACGGCTGTTTCATGTGAATAATTATCAAGTGCTTTTGGACGTGCATGGTTGTAGAAATTTAAAGAAACGAAATAATTAAAAACCGAACAGAAAAACTAAGTGAAGACGTGTAATTATTAATTTTGTTCTGTAAACGATGTCTGATTTCTTGGTGGACATTAAAAGGAAGTGTGTATTGCTGTTTTAACTTGTAATGTTACAGAGAAAAATAATCTTTAAGCAACAGTGGTCGTCCTTGTTTCTAAGGGTTTAGTGAGACAGATTATTGGAACTTTTGAAGCGGCTACTTTTTTTGGACCAAGAGGCAGTGTATCTACCGTCGATTGAATATACACATTCAAATTCGGTGTGAAAGTTATCCTCTGTAAAGATTTTAAAAAGTATGAAAAAGCTGTGGATTATTTCGTTACAATTATGCAAATTGTGAACTGTTAAAACAAATTACATAAACATGTATCATAATTTTGTATGACATGTAAATGCCTTGCTCCTTATTTAACGTTTGGATAGTTATAGATGATTATTTGCATATTTATAGGACGACCGCGTTTTTTTTCTTTGAAATTTTGATTTGGTGATATATAATACAGGGATACTGGTTAAGCTATTTGGCAAAATGTGCCCAAAACACGGCCGGCAAAAACGTCAATTTTAGTGTGGGGTTTTTATCGTTTTTTGCCGGTTGCCATTGGCAAGAATACTCAGTGTATAACTTGGGGATTTTTGTTTAAAATTGAAAGCGCGGCAATGCCTTGATCGTGTGATGACACACGAGGCGCGCCATAGCTTCCGTTTAGAATTAGAATGTACGAATTCACCAATAAGCGCTGATTTGACGAGCAGTCGAAGTTAAGCGGGTTCACGTGCTACTGGACAGCCAATCAGCGAACGATACGTAACAGTCTCGTGCTCTGATTGGCCAGGAGTTACCTTACACCCGGTTTTACCAACCAGTTGTATATTGTGGTCTTAAACTAGTCACATCAACATAATACAATGTTATTAAGCTGAAAAAAATATCAATAAATAAAAGGATACTAAAGTACATTGTCTTTGTGGTTTGTGTTGTGTAACTTTTGTGCACATCGTGCGTATGTCTTGACAGTTCCATGGAATGATTTCTCGGAATGGGATTGAAGTTTCACATAATGTTTGTCAGTATATTCGCCATTATACATCTTAGTTGGAAGTGGCAAATATTGGTCAATTTGGCTTGCCATTTTGCCAATACAAATTTTGGGTACAAATTTAACGATTTTGGTTATAATTTGGAAATCAAGTCTTGGCTTGATGTTGATAATTTAACATTAAAAACCGCAATTTCTCTGTCGACAGAGGGCGCTAATTAGATTGTCATACTAGAGAATGAAAAGTACGATATCACTGCCAATTTTCCTCATCACGTTTTTTGAGGGCACTGTTGTCATGCAGCCTTGTAGGGAAATTCGTCAAAAATTATTTAGGCCTGAATACCGTCCATGTTGTGTCCAGATTTGGGTCCCTGGTACCAGGCTGAATGGAAACACACGTAGACCTGTAATTCAATCATAATTCGATAACCTGCGTAAGCCCAGTAGCAGCAGTGCCAGACAAGAGAAAGTTACAATAGTATCCCCACAACACGGGAGGGGGGGGGGGGGGGCAAAACCCGTCAATGGGTTGAGACCCGAGGCTCAGTACAGGGGCTTACTTGGAGTTTTGTGAGAAGCCAGTCAACTGTGACGTGCCTGCTGCCACCAAGCCATTGATAACTACACAGTGTAGGCCAACGTGGATCAGCAAACAACTGAACTGGAGAAACCGTACAAATTATTGTCACCTGCGCTGCATGTACACAACCATGGACTAAAGTACATGTACATGTAAAGTGAACTCATGATAATGAACTTTCACCATGAACATGGATTGGTTGAATGAAACAGGATCAGCGAGACATTACAACACGTAATGTGTAGTCTGCTCGTCGTGCAGGAAAACATGGCCAACAACACGAACTGAGGGAAAACTGCCCACATCTACGTCGTTGAACAGGTAATTAGTCCATTCTGATATGATGAACACATTTCAATTAAGTTTCGCTCTTGTGTATGGACGTTCTACTACAGGTGAACGAAGTGATGCATTTTTTGGTAGGACAGCTGTTGTGGATTATTGTAAATTGTTGGAGCAAAGTCCAAACTTTTGTTGGCAAATTGATGGCAAGTGGTGTTTGAGGTCGGTGACTTGAAACAAGGCAAAAAAAAAAACGTTCTAGAAAAAAAATCTAAGTGTGATTATTAATTATTTGCCACGGTAAAAGCAAAATTGCTTTGCCGTAAAAATGGTTCCAATGTAGGTGGCTACTAGGTGAATGATTTCACGAAGCTGTTTATAAAACGGCACAGAAATTTGAGCACATGAATGTTTACATAGAAAAATAGGTGCAGTAAAAACTAAAAGGGTTTCATGTGATATGTAATGCGTTCTTTATTTGATTTAACCATAGAGGAATAAGAATGAACTCTTCAACTACGTGCGGTGCTTCAACTATCCTTTTCAACTTAATTGTCACTCAAAAACATATGATGTTTTTGCCCAGATTAAGGCTACTTCGGTATAAATGTATGACAGTAAAATAAAAGCAAAGAATATTGCTTTTTTCTTCATATCATCTCAATGAAGGTCAGTCATTGCAAAAACGATGATAAGACATGAATCTAAAAACTGAGAAACATTTCCAATTTTGTTAGGAAATACTTAAAAAACTTTTCTTGACTCTACATAGACTTTGTACACAACCACTGAAGTAGCGTCACTGGTTGCAACATTCCTTCCAAACAAAATGCAGTGCAATGGCGATGCAGTGCAAGATGGTGGGCGTAGTGATGGAATGTGCCCTTTGCCCTTATTGGGGATCCAATTCAAGGGGCACTCCAACCTCCGTAAACGTATCAGAGGCAGACAATTGGCACCAATGATCAATACCTCAACTAAAATCGGGAACAATACTCACAAAACTCACCGGTGATCAAGACATAAATTTAAATCAAATTAAAGCTTGATTTAATCTCTTTCATTTTCTGTTAATTTTTGGGGGGTTTGACCTGTCACTTGTGGGTAATTTTCCCTCCAAAGATTATCACCCCTCCCTAAATGCAGTTCCAAAGCCCATCACCAATTGGGAAGAAAAAAAAGGGTCCGCTTTCGCGCCATTGCAAAATAGAACGATCTTTTTTGGTCCAATTTCATCCCATAATTTATTTTCTCATAAATACAAGAACAAAGACCGGTTAACATTGGGATCCTTGATTTAAAGTGCAGAGGCCAAAAATTGCTTCATTAAGAGAACAATAAATTGACGGTATGAAAATCGGGAGTTGGTCGGCGTATAGGTAACTTTGGGCTCACTGAACGTGTTATGTTCTCAGTGTTCTGCATCCATGAGACAGACTTATTTCTAGGAAGTGGGTATTTTTGCCGGCTTATGGCAAAGCCTATTGTACTCTGCCTATTGTGCTCACTGCTATGACCTTACTCGCCGTGAGAACGGGCCATATAATGTCAGCCTGGTTTTGTTGCGACAGAAAACTGTTATGTAACGGTGAATTTAATGCCGATATTATTATCAATTCATGATTGGACCAAATAGCCTTAGACTAGACAGCCAGCATAATTACGTCAAACCACTTTTAAAAGATGAAGGAATAAATTCATAATGTGAGTCTATGATGAGGATTTGTAAAGGTAATTTTGCATTCATGTTTTGGCTTGCAATTCTTGATGAGGGTCTATGCCTTCAAGAAATGGGTTTTCAGAGGGCTATCTTGTACATTAAAGGGGTAGTTAGCTCGTTAAAAGTATCGATGGAACCATCAGAAAAACCGAGACGCATAGGGGAATGTTTTTCCCCTTCCCACAGAATGCGCGCGCACATTTTCCAGGCGAAAGGGCACGGTCACCTCGAGTATATAGCAGTAATAACGCGTAATAACTTGGACAAACTTTGCTCTTTTTTGTCCTGCCATTTCGTGACACTGCCACGTTATGACATTGTTATTTAATCAGATCGGTATAGGCCTCCATTCTATCCGTGCAGCACGATCTTTTTTTATCTATACAAAGTTCAAGTGGTAAGCGAACATGCACCGGCTTTGCCTGAATTGTCAGTCTTTGAATTTCTATTTTGTATGCAGTTACAGTTTCCTCTTTCTGCGACCTATATAACCATGACAACTGTGGACGTTTATACTTTCGCAGAGTCGCTCGTGAACGACCAGCCATCGCTGGCATCAATCAGTGAACCGTAGCCAGACCCACGGATCGAACCGGCACACGCCCGCTTGCAAACACCGGTAAAAATTGTACCCTTCGCCCACGGTTTGACGAGTCGGTTCACGCTCGCTGCGGACTTAATGCGAACGTGACGGTCAACCGTTGTGCGAAGCTTCCATATTGGTGCTTGCCACCTTCTGTTGATTTCCCTGGGAGTTAGACTGATTAAAAAATACGATGACAGAAGCGTAGTGGGTCGGTGACGAGGACAGCCCATAGCGGGGTGAGTACACGGCTATACCATTCGTATATTCGCGTCAGAATGTGGTCTTGCTGTTGATTTAGACTTTTCTTTATACAGGAGGAGCCAGAAAAGAAAGTGACCGAATTAGAAAAAATAAAATAAAAACATATTTTGAACAATAATTGTGGCAAAATATATTATACCAACAATGAAGGCCCGGCAAGAAAAAAAAACCTGTGTTGTTGTTGTTGTTGTTGTTGGTTGGTGGTGGTGGGGGGGGGGGGGGGGGGGGGAGAAGGAAGTGGGGGTATGGAGACGGAAGGATTCTGCCTCGGTCCTTTCATGGTTATGATGCAATAAATCAGGTAGTGAGGGTCATAAGGCTCGATGCTCACTTGAACGCCCCATATCAACTGGATAACGCAGACCGTAAATCGATTCCTTAATTAAAGGTGCTTTATTATCGATCCTCAAATATTACCTATTATCGATCATCAAATATTACCAAACTGATCAAACACATATAAAGATAATCCGTGACTACCAATTAAATCATCTTCAGAGTGACGATTACAAAGAAAAAGGCAGAGTCATGACCGTCACACATAATTCGTGACGTCATAAGGGGAAATTAAGAGAGAAACCATAAAGGGCATTTGATGCAGTCATCAGTCAGATGTGCCGACAACGAGCATGTCCCTTTAATCTCCGCGACCTTTAATATGAACTTGACTATGTTCAGACCTTGTACATACGATTTTTATTATCTGTTAAAAGGCATGGCAATAAATTTAACAAGCGGATGAGTTGACACAACTTCTTATTGTCCCCTAAAATGTTGGCACTTCATCTGTGCGTGGACTTGAACATAGATTTGGACAGCGACTTGCATCAAGTTCAAATAAACTGTATAAATAAAAAACAACCTCGTTTTCAAGGGTCTTCCCGATCTATTGCGTTTACATAGATCGATAAGTGCCGTAATATAGCTTGTTTACCACTAAGTATATAGCTCGGTCCAACTTCCACCGTTTTGTGATTCATTGGGTCCAACTGCACTCTAATAAACCGGCACGTAGGCCCGACGATGTACATGTACACACATCATGCTTTCTGTGTGTTCAACCAAAACTGCTGTGCATTTTGGCATTATCCAAGCTCATTTCCTTTTTGACGCACAGTTCGTGTGCCACTTGTTTGATACGAGGAAGCACATCCGTGATCCGACATAATCTGTGCACGTTTACAGTGGAAACTAACCCCCGTTTGGACCTTTAGTTGTAAAAGTTTGCATTGGTTGTATTTCTTTTTTCCACCGTATCATTGTTTTGTCACCAGGGCACTCGGCTGCAACGCGAGTGTCTTGACAAGCGAAAGTGGAAGTCACTGATGTTCAGCTACAGTCCTCACACCAATATCGTCTCAACCAAGAGAGCCCCACCTCAGAATGACAAACTCCGAATCGAGTGCGCACGCGCCAGGAACGGAACCACTACGTCACACCCTGTCTTCCTTCAAAACGGTTCATCCCACCCCTGCCACCCCTCCAACCACATGAATGGTCAAGTGGTATCTGACAGACGCCCCGTCCTAGGCCCGGGGTATAAGATCGTGGAACCGCCCCAGGAGATTTTACCTAGGCGGTCCAAGATGACTCCCTCCCCAGACCCCACCGGGGTTAAGACAGCCCACAAGACTACGGTCAGATTCAACGTCAGCTCGCTTCCAAACTCCCACGATGATTCCTTGAGGAGTGAGTCCAGAACAGTGAGTAAGCCTAAACTTATGAGGAGCCAGTCTACGCAGACTGAGGCACCGCACCGTTCCGAGAAACCACCCATCCTCAGCCGGTCTCCATCGGCCCCTCCCATAATCTGTTACCACGCCGAGGAGCCGGTAATACGGGCTCGCGGCGCGTTCAAGCGGGCCTCCTGGTCGGCCCGTGGCCGCTACTCGGACTCCTCCTCCACGGAAGGCGGTGATGTAGGCAGCGACTCGGCGGACTCGAGTTTCTCGGTGGTCACGGCTAGGAGGAATCCAGCCGAGGAATTACCGCTGTCTGCTATCCTCATCGGCGACAGCGGTACGGGGAAGACTTGCCTCGTGGCTCGGCTAGCTGATAATGTCTTCGTGGAGAACTACGATGTCACCGTAGGTGAGTGACAAATCATTTTAAAATTAATTTCGTATCTTCCACTTCATTACACAACATGCATCCTGTATAAAAATGCAGACGTGCATGTAAAATTTAAGTGTCACAAATTGACAGTGAATTGTAACTTTTTGAAGTATCGTAAAAATGTCTGTATTTGACATTGAACCATCAGAGAACAACTCTAGCTTAAATTTGTCTATCAAATAGCATGTATAAAAATGTGGAAGACATTCTTTAAAACAAATGAATAACATACAATAAAAATAAAATAGTGCTTTAACTTAGATGTCACTGTCTTCTGATGCTTGCATAAAGACAAAGCGCCCGAGTCGTTGAAAACTTATTTAAAAAAAACAATTCATGACGTACTTTACATGTTTATAATGAATTTGGGTTAATTTTTTTGTAACTATATTTTACCCAAGAAAATATATATTATCAAATGTCATCATAAGGTCTTATAACTTTTGTGGTTATAATTATATAGTTTCTTCGAATTATACTAATAAAAGTAAACAGCAGTTTTACGTCACTTGATATATTTTCAAAACGAAAGTGTAAGTTGCAAAAGTTTGGCAAGATTTGTAAGTTTTGGTGCCGGTTGATTAATATACGACGTGCGTGGGTTTTGTTTTGGCCAAAGGGCGCGCTTTGTTTTCGCGGAAGAACACTCGGTAGTCAAGCCGGCACGTGTTTTTGGTATCCGCATTGACTGTCATTGACACATTTTCCTGTCTTCCGGGATTGCAAAATGGAGCATGATGTTGCTGAAAATTTATCACTAATCACTATACCCTATCATTTTGAGTGACGTCGCAATTTCCGGACACAACACTCCTCAGTTTGTTGTACTGCTTCACTGCCAATGATTTCCGTTTTTTGTTTTATGTATCATCGGGGTCGAGGCTAACTGCTTTGAACCATTGAAGGAAATGCTGGGGGGGATAAAATATCTACGAAACTACAAACACATATCAAGGCTACTCACTAGCTTTCTGTACGTTGGAATCTGTTGCCAATTCTCTGGGTTTTTTCACACTCTGATACAGAAATAACAAGTCAAATCACGCGTGGCCTAGTCAGAGTCAAAATCTGCAAAATACAAGGTCACCAGATCTAAAGGCTTTGTGTTTGCCTTCTGAATTTTTTTTTCCATGCATGTAAAAAAAAACATTTTTTGTCACGAAGGGAAAATTTTGTTTGTGACGCGTATTTGTCACGCTGGCCAAACTTGTAAAGAAAAAGGGTCAAAATTGTTGCTGCCGATTGCTGTAACCCGAATTGTTTTTACAGTAAAAGAAACAAGAGATGAAGTGAGAAAATTGTTGACGTCATGATAAAGTCAACAACCAAAGTAAACAAACCTAAAAACGGAAGAAAACAACAGAGTTGACGATTTAATGTACATGTATGTTTCACTAACTTTGGTAGTATGCTTTTAAAACATTGCTCTATAATTCTCGCAAAATATAATTTCATGAGAAAGATCTTGGCTTCGAGAAACCTCTTCGAGAATCGAAACATCTGGCCCTCAAACTATTATTATTTGTTATATTTCGTGATATAAGAAACACATTTTACTTAACAACATGGCGATAATATATGCATTGAAGGAACGTGACTGTTTTTTTCTATCATATTTTAAAATGCTAGTGTTTGAATCTGACACTATATTGTTTCCATCCTCACAAAAGATATCAGAGATTATTTGCCAAATACCAGAGATATCAATGTGACTATCCCCAGGTCCAAAGTTCAGTGTCACGATAATATTTAAAGAGAAAACAACTGAGTGTGAATGGCTTAACAAAATTATATTTACATATAGTTTGTGATCAAACTTATTGAAGAGACTTGTAGGTTTGCATGGTGGACATGGAATGTTTATGGTAACACCATTGTGAATGATATCTCTTTTGAGTTGTGTGGCTCTGAGAAGAACCAGTGGGTTAAACTCTACGTTTCGAACAATGTGCTCTGTTCGTCATCAGGAGACGACGAGATCAAACTTATTGAAGAGTTTTGAAACCCAATGTGCTGTTTTCATGATTTTTTCCTTTAGTATTTGAAGGAAAAACTCTCAGGTTTAATCCGTTATCCAAAATGTAAAAATGCACAGATCACGTTTTTGGAAAAAAAGGCAAATGTTGCAGGGTTGCATTTTTGTGGGGTCCCCCTGTATAATCATCAGGACATCAATGAAGGAATTCAGTATTGCAGGCCGCGATCTTCGGATAGTTTATGATCTTTTTTTCAGATTGGTATACTTTGGAATAGATTTAGGGGTTTGTTTATGTTTTCTTTTGTGTTGTCCTTGTTTTGTTCTTCTTTTGAACACTTGGGAATGTATCTTTCACTAATTATGAAGAGTTGGGGATGTGAGAAGGTATAGCCCCGCCCCTTCCGTAGAACTGCTCGTGACGTCATCGTAATTAATTATAATATTATCTTGCCCTCACCAATCAGGAATCGACTTCAACATCGCCAGGTTCGATCTGCCGGACGGCCGACCAATCAGACTACAGCTCTGGGACACGGCGGGCCAGGAGAAATACCGCGCCATCACCAGCATGTATTACCGCAAGGCCATGGGCGTGGTCTTGGTTTATGACGTCACGCGGCGGGAGTCGCTTGACAACATTCTCAACGTCTGGCGGAAGGAGGTCGAGAAGGTTAGAGTTCAAGGGTCGATCTGTTGAATTATTCATCAAAAAAAAAAGCCACACAGCTATTTTCATACATGTACTACCAAGTACCAATTTCCAGTATAAAACAGCTGCCATTTTTCACCATTTCTCAGAAGTTCGTATCGCCATCCTGCGCGCGGCTTTCGACTTTCGGAAATTATTTTATGATAAAAAATTACTGGAAAAAAAATCATTGTTATTATTTTGGATTTTTTTTCAGTACGCCGAATCTGACGTTGCGCTGATGCTAGTCGGGAACAAAATGGACCTCGACGACTACAGAACCATCACAACACGAGTGGGAGCCAAGGTACTAGACCAATAATTTGTGTGTGTGTTACCTAAACCACTGATACGTTACACTCTGTATTTCTGATATAAATGAAGAAGACACTTCAATGAGTGACATTTCAATTTGCATATGTATCAACTGTCAGTTAAGATATTATATTTTCGTGACAATGATTCTGAATACCAGTTTGTCAACGTTTCTCCCTCCGTAGGTGGCATCACAACTCGGCGCAATATTTTACGAAGTCAGCGCAAAGGAAGACCTCAATATCCAGTCGGCATTTCAGGCCTTCGCGGACGACATTATAGAAAACGTGGTAAGTGTGGATTTGAACATTGATTTGGTTATAATATTTGTTACTTCGTTCCAGTGTCCCATTTTAGACACAAGAGGGGGTTTCATACCAAGCAACACTTTGAATCTATTGTAGTCTGTCGTTAAGCAGCCTGGGTGCCTGAGCCTATAGATGTTGCAAATTGAGAAAGGTTTGATTTAAATTAAGAAGTTTATTTGACTTTGCACTTGACTTTTGCTCATTCTCATAGATTATCAACTGAATTTATGTAAAATCGTCAAAATGTTCGAGTTGACTTAAACAGCAGAAACATGTTCATGTACATGGTACTGCTCTCTTCCAGAGTGTGCAATGGAAGGAAATTTAGTCCTCCTTATTTTGATTGTTTACTTATTTTTTTGTTCTCCCCTTTTCGATTTGTCGTTTTTCCGTGCTCAGTATTCCAAGCGTAACCCCTGCCTCAGCCTCAGTGCCGTTCACCTCGACCACAGCAACCACGACAGAAACAAGAACGAGAAAAAGACCAGATCTACCTGCAACTGCTCATAGAGGGAGTGCTTCCGCCAAATCTACCTGCAACTGCTCATAGAGGGAGTGCTTCCGCCGACAGAGGGCGTGTTCGCGTCGATAGAGGTCGCCCTCCACATAGACTAGAGGGCGCTGTAACCTGTAACACTGACTGGGGGCGCTGTTAGTGCAACTTTTTTTCCTAGCCTTCAAGCATGCTTCCCGCACACTTTAAGGTGTACAATGTTAGCTGCCGCTTTATTTGTGGTGATATTTCTTTAATATGGCTGTCTGGACCGAAAATTTACGAGCTGCATTTTTTTTTATTGAAATGTAAAGTAACATCATGCTTAAATATTTGGTACACATGCCAAACATGTTCAAAGAAATTAAAATACTCTATACTCTCGTTTTCTATATTAACTAAGGACATCATTTCACGAGGCATATTACTGAAATGTTCGATAAGCTGAAAATACAGTTTAGAGAAGACTGCCTTATCATCCATTATTTATTGAATGGAACAAGTAATTCGCAATGATATGATTCAACAGGCTCCATTCATTGTTCTACGCAAATATATATAAGTCCGATTGCAATTGTCAGTATTTTTATGTACACGATCTTGAAGAGTACTTGTATGCCCTACGTCCCTTTAATTAAGATTGAAATAATCTACAAAAGAATCTGAATTATTATGAAGCTTACAAAGAGAAGATGAAAGATTCTTCTATGTATAAATGTTTTGAGAATGTTAGAATTAGCAATAGCACTGCGTTTCTTCATAGTGTGATTAATTTTTAATTTTTTTTTTATTGTTTGGAGTGATTGGGAAATGCGCTGGTAGGAGAGATCTCGGTGTTTTTTTCGTTTTAACTTGGGATGTTCTCGAAAATTGGATTTGATTTTAGAAAGTTTGTGCAATTGTTTTTTGGCAATGATTTTTCAGCCGGTGGTGGAGTAGCGAGTGCAATGATTCTGCCGATTAGAAGTTTAGTTTTTAGTTGAATGGCTTTTTAATGAGTATAATTTGTTTATCTTATGCGAATATGCGAGGAGCGTTTGTGAACCCACTTACGTGAACTTCCTTCGGGAGTTTTTGTCCACACCGCCTCTTACAAATGATAAGTTTTGTATTCTACGGGATGTACCCAAACAGATGTATCAATGACCAATAGGATGAGTGGACAAGGTGTTCAAGTGGAATGGTGTTCTTTATCGAATTGGACAATAAAACACCTGAACTTGTTTTTGCAGTTTTACTCTGTGAATACTCGATGTTTTATTAAAAATTTGAATGTAAAAGATCTGGAACTACAAGTGTTGAAGTTCATTTTTTTTTAACAGATTTTATTTTCACGAGATTCGCCTGATGACGTCACGTGGATTTGTTTTACCGACACATGACGAAAGGGGGCGCCATTCACTTGTCGCCATATGATGAACGGACGAATGAACATGTATAAGCCCGCCCTCTTGCTACGACTAAGAACAGCTAAAGTCTACAGCATATGATTTTGCTGTTATAGTTGGTAAATAGAGAGTAGTATAAAATTGTTGACCTCAACTTCCGTTCAATTCCTCACGCAAACAACAAGTGGGTAAAATCAAATCTGTGACTTGACTAGTCAGTGTTTGGTACCAAGACGTTCACATAAAAAAGTAAACGTGCACGGGTACTGTCTATTCAAGTTGTGACTTTAATTTGCATATTCATGTTTCTGAACGGATTCCGATAAATAGGCACGACACAAACATCCTTTTCACAGCGGCACTGCATGGCTGCTTCATTTGTAGACGATAATACCTGCTTCTGCCTATTCAATTTCCACGTTCCTTCCCCGCGTGTATGTGAACGACATTTTGCGATCCCCAAACTCAAATATAAATACATGTAAATAAAAAAAAATCTCACTGCACCATTGGCGTGTTTGCAATATTCTCACCGAGCCTTGACAAATCCACTACTCTCCAAAATGAAACTACATGTACTTCACGATGGAATTCCCCGTAAGAACAAAACCAGGAAATGTAGTCCAATAGTGTGTATTTAATCCATCGGCCCAAATGTCATTGAAACTAGCTTGTATGATGATACGCCTCGTTCCCGCGTTATCACAACAAAATGACATTTACTGTACATGTATACTTGTATAGAATAACACGGGACGAAGGAAAACATGATTCAATTCACGCGTATTCATGCTCTTTTTATACGAAGACGCCAAAACGTCAGTGTTTAAAAACGTAAGTACATGTATATACATGTTTCTTTCAGATTTACGCCACTGACCAGGCATATAATTGTCTATGATTCAGAAATCCAATCGTGACGTTTTTGGTGAAAGGTTTCATTTGTATACCTTTTTTTAATGGTTGCAGTCATGCACATCCTTGATTGACATTAAAAAAACGGCAATGTGAGATTCCCTCTGTCCTTTGTTGTCTTTTAACTTTCTTTTCAGTTTGTCCTCACATGAAACCCCGACCTATTTTTTCCCACCACACAGTGTTTGGAAAATTGTGGTAAGAAGCCCATGAACCTGACCACCTCTGCACAACTAAACAGCATCAGATGTTCTATTTGAACTAGTTCATTTTTCAAGAAGATTCGTCCGGTGTAATCTCACCGCAAAAAAAAAAGTATACAAGAAGGCAAAACAAAATCCACAACCGACATACTTTTCAGGATCAAGAGATTAAAAAGTGCGGCAGCTTATCTTGGCTGATAGTACAGTGTAACTTTTGTCTGCCCAAGTAGCGCGCGGGGATAATGGGGGTTAAAGGTCAAAGGTTATCTGCAGGAGATAGAATGTTGACAAAGATTTCGGTGAAGAGCCAAAGTTCTCGAAATGGTGCACTGAAAATGTGGGTGCCAAAGTAAGTAAGCAGCATTTTGTAAAACCAGAGCACCCGTAGAACAAGGATGATGTTTTATTTAGGTCTGGGCAACCAGGGTGTACAAAGGAGCTATTCAGTGGACCTCAACGAGTGTGTTTCCTTCAAACCTGAAGTCTGTTTTGTGTTGGACTGTTGGCTCAGGCCGGGGACATAAACGTAAGTGATTGTGAGTAGCTTCAGCCGAAGTGGGGAACGACCACCGTCATTGAAGTTTGCAGACCAAGCTATATCTTCTTGTACGGAGAACACACTGGACGTCGACCACACTGTCCACAGCACTGTCGACAATTTACTGTGGACCACAGTCACCACACTGTCGACAAGTTACTGTCGACAAGTTACTGTCGACTACCCTTACTGCTGGAGTGTATATGCCGAAGACGACCGGTCCCGACAACCCTGGTCGTGCGGGGCGTGGCGGTGACGCCCCCGATGTGAGGGAGAGCCACGCCTACTCGTTCTCGACAGCTGTAAATTGGTTTGCAGGTGAGTCAATGCACATTTTCATGGGAGTTTGTGTCTGGTACTTAAAAGTAATGACCTTCATAAATTATTTTCCATCACTATACACATTATAAGTGGCGGTTCTAGCCCCCCCCCCCCCCCCCAATTTGTCTAGCTCCCCCCCAAAAAAAAATCCTTAAAAAAATTGCACTAGCAAAATGTAAGAATGTGACGTACATGCGAACGGTCTCCCCTAAATAGTCGTTAGAAGGGTGCATTTGTACACTTTTAAGTAGTGTGCCTGATTGTAGGATTTTATCAGCGCTCATCCCCATTGAAAATATGGCACGCCCCCCCCCCCCCCCCCACACACACACCTATTGATTTTCGGAGGCCTAAGAGTCTGGAGAAAATAACCGGTCTACATTTCAGCACGCCTCCCCAAAAATTCTGGATCCACCCTGCTAGCCCCCCCCCCCCCCCCCCCAAATAATGGCTCTAGAACCGCGCCTGCACATTATAGCTCCATGCTATACATAAACATATTGAAACTTAATTGGGTTTGGATAAACATATTGACTGAATATGGAGATTGAAATTACTCATTCTATAGGGTGTGTGAACAATCATATTATTTTAAAGTGATGGAGGATTCAGGATCGATAAGATTAATGCCGCAAGAGCTATAAGAAAGCACGGCTTCTCATTATGTTGTTCAAAGGATTTTAACGTCGAATTTTCCCCACTAAAAGCCCGCTATCAGTTGGAAAGTCTACTAGCAACCCATGTCATCTTTTTTGCTCTGGACAGAAGCTATTGCGGGCAGAGTATCGAGTGTCGCAGTAAAAAAAACAAGTGCGAGAGCACAATCCTGCATGAAATCTATCAAAATTATCCCTGCCAGAGCTTAAAAATGCGACGCCCAAAATGCGACGCTGATGGCATATATGGAACACTGTACTTTAGATTTACACCTACATGTATAGGCCTATAGATTCATAGCGATTTGTGACTATAGCATCACTGCATATATTTTGCCTCCATTTACAAACTTTTCATAAACTTCTTGCCGAATTGTTAAAAATAGTTTTGTTAAGTATAAATACATTTGCTGTTTTTTGTAAAATTAAAATGTGGTAGTTATATTTTATGGGAAACTTTTGTGGGCTTATTTCGGTCAATTTTCCGGTGAATGACTGATTGATCGACCACTAGTAGATAGTGGCATGTAGAAGCTCCTGTCAGAGCTTAACGTACTGGGATGTTCGTGTTAAGGAAAATGTTTTGTCGTTGAGCTCTTGGTTTCGTAATACCCTCGGTGTCAAATAAACACTGCAGTGGTTTCGTAGAGATTGTGAAGACTTTAACCCTAAATTCACCCGACCGTACGTTGCATGACTTGTGATCCGTCATGATTATTATCTTATCGGTTATAAAAATGTGTCACAAGTCAAAGTGAGCTACAAAAACATGGACAGGGTTTACTCTGCAATGCAGGATCACAGAAGGTCAAAGGTTGATTTATACATATAGTTGAATAAACAACAACAGTAAATGGAGAATACATGTACAGATTTTTGTACTAATAACAATGATTCGTAAATGCTGAAATCACGTGAAACTCTACAGCAATTCATTCAGCAGAGGCGGATCGGGGGGGGGGGGGGGGGCTGCGAAGGAGAGGGGATGGCCATGGGAGTCGCGATCGGGGGGGGGGGGAAGGGGGGCACTTGCCCCTCCCCCCCCGACGAGCAAAAAAAAAAACACAAGAAAAAGAGGCGGAAAATCATATTGTTGTTTATTTAATGGGTTGGGGGGATGTCCCTACCCACCCTCGAAAAACGATCGATCGGGAAAATTCTGGAAAATATAGTGATTTTTGCCCCCCTCTAGAAGAAATCCTGGCGACGCCCATGGGGATAGGTGCCAAGAAAACACCGTATACCCCCACTGTGACAATGAAGGTCAATTAACTGTCAAATTTAAAAACCGAGGGTGCTGTTCTGTTCTCTGAATCTCTCTCCATGCTCCGTCCATCGCAATCCTCTCGTCACGGCATGCGACAATGCCTTTTCAAAACAGCAGCAAAATAAGCTCCTTCTCATAGTGAATTTGCATGTACATGTATTTAAATCGAGCTGTCATACAGAATCCTTAACCATGCATAACAGATTTTACACGCTACGCTTGATATGGTGCATTTACAGTCGTATGAGGAATAAAATGGTCTGACCCGAAAAAACTCTCTAAAGACCATATTGTCAATTAAAATAGCGAGTAGCTACGAACAATGAGTACTAGCCTCAGCCAACTGAATAGCGTCGCGTATAGGTTCGGCGGTGGTTGTGTCAGCCCTGCCCTTCAGCGCACGCATTGAAAACTTGTAGCTCATCGAATAGCATTCTTTGGGAATCACGAGGAAGCCATACTGAGAACCAATTAATATGAGGAAACTAACGTAACTAAACGGGCTAGAAGGACCATTACAACTCGGACTGTCGTTCAATCCGAAGGACTCGGCAAATTAGAAAAATCACGGCACTTTGACACGGTGGACTTCAGGGGGCAACGGTTTTACACGGAGTCACATTCGCACTTTCCGGGGACAGCATGCAGAGCGCCAGGACCTTTCGAGCCAACTCGCGGAGAAATATCGGCGTTGCACCCGTCCGGAAAAATACCGACTGCCCCGTTTGTCATGGCATGAGGGTATCGAGTGTTAATGGCGTGTTATTCTATCGGACTCCAGGTAGGTAGCAATGCATGACCCATGAACTGAGGTGCAATTTGCGTAGTCCCATAAATGTGGCTCAAACAGCGGCGGAGCCAAGGGGGGGGGGGATCCCCTGAAATTTGGCAATCGCAGAAAATTACGAAACTGTGATTATCATTTTTAATTAATTTTTTTCCGCAAAACCCTTTTTTCGCGAATGGTCCGGTTGTTTATTTGAACGTCCCGTGGAACGCGTATAACGATTCATATTGTCTGACAATGACCGCGAATTCGGCTTTGAACAGGGCCCCATTAAAAGATGGTGTCTAGCCCCCCCCCCCCCAGTGGCGTCGCCAAGGGGGGAGGGGGGGGGGCAGGGGGGGCACGTGCCCCCCTGGAAAACCTAGTGCCCCCCCCCCCCCATCAAATGCTGGTGCCCCCTATCCTCTGCAAAATTCTGCGCGTTGTTAAAATCATTACCTCAAAAATAGCAATTTCTGGAGATATCTTCAGATCGAATTTAGCATCAAATGTGGCACCATTTTGCATCTAGCCCATCCTCCGTATGCGAAAATTTTCCAAAGGGGAGGGGGGGCACCCCCTCCCCTTAGACCCCTCCCCCAGGACGGCGATCCGTATCCACCTAAGTGCCCCCCCCCCCATCAAATGCTGGTGCCCCCCCCTGTGCCCCCCCCCCCCAGACTGAAAAGTCTGGTGACGCCACTGCCCCCCCCCCACACTTTTTGATTTTACGGAGGCCGGGTTTCCGGTGGAACAAACCTGTCTATACCCTTGAGCACGGATAAAATTTGGTTGCCCCTCCATACATCCAGTCCCTGCTGCCCTTCTCCTCCCCCCAGGACTAGTCCGAAAATACTGTGTATGAGAGTCCCAAAACATAAGTTATTGAAAACATGCAAAAACAAGAAAATAGACTGGCACCTAAAACAACCAGTCCAACACAGCTTCAGTACTGCATCAATCGACCATGCCAAAAGAATTTAAGAAACATGTGGCATGAAGCGGGAACTAGTCTCAATTTATACGCATTTCTCCATAGTCAAGCCACCAGACTATTGACACTGAATGAAGAGGTCATTCTTTTCAAATAGTTGGACCATGGTTGGACATGTACCAGTCTAGTCTTTAGCCCCATTTTGAAATCACTTGACTTCCCTCTCATGTTCAAAATATTGCAGAAAAGTCTCCTTTAAAAATTGAATTGAGTCTGCAAACTTGGTTGGTGAAATACTGAGGACATTTTCTTTGCCCCAGTGGAATTTTTGGAGAAATTTGCTGGCTATAAACTGCGAGTAAAGTGGACCTGATTTAGTTTTGCACGTTTTAGAGCACTCCAGAGCCCTGTCTGCCCCAGGACGAGACCCCCCCCCCCCCTATATCCGCTGGGCTCAAATACTGGAATTCCTCCGTATTGTGAGTCACACACCGGTCCATAATGGTGGTCAAGTTACCGTTGATGTATTGGACAGGATATTTTGCTGACATAAACTATGGAGATGGAGATGGAGGTATTTTGAGGAATTCGAAATAGGGACTTTTGTTTTACTGATATTCACCATAGAGGCTACTTACCTGGTTAATGACCAGGGAAATTGAAATGGTTAACATGTACACTTGACCTTGACCCAGACAAAGTAACTGCTACAAAGCTTTGTTGGACAATAAATTCACTGCACACTTTCCCAGAAAGTTACAGAATAATGCCGCCCATTTTTTAAATGTGTATTAAATTAATGGCAAATTATAGGATTCACACCTGCTTTTCCTTTTGTTTTTCTTTTCCCCCTGTTTTGTAGTCTGGTTCCCAGACCAAAATATTCTGACTATTCCTGATGAATCTTAGGTCAGGTAGCCTCCGGTAATACATTGTCACGTGACTAAAACGGGAGGAATTCCTCCTTTTTAATAATTGTCAGTTCTGGAAACCAGACTACCTGCTTTGCTTTTCGAGGGGGGGGGGGGGGGGGGGCCAGTCGCCCCACTTGGCCCCCCCCGGACGCCCATGCTTCTGTCCGTTAAATGTGAAACTTACGAAAGCCCGGTGGCGAACGTCAAACCATTTTGCGTGAAAGGTCGTTTCTATTTATATCTATTGACGTCACTAGAGCGCCTTTTCAATATTCCCGGCCGTTTGCAACGCATCACTGAACTGCTACGTGTTTGTGGCTTTCGGATTTTCTACAAGAATTACTATATTTGATGTCCCATTGCATGCCACACGGGGCTTCTATCAGATTACCATATTACATGAACTTCTCTGTGAACTCCGTTTCGTTTCAGTTGCATGGGCCTAGCTTTCGAATAACTAAACCAAAAAGGCGAAGGCCAAATGAAAACACCTCGCTTTGAAACATTTCACGCGAACTGTGTGGAGGCTCCCATGTGTGCGCGATCTTCGCCTCTGTACCAGTATGGCGAATAGACGCAAACAAGTACTGGAACAAAATGTTAGCCTCATGATACAGACACAAGAGGTTGACCTCACTGAAGAACGAGACTACACGAGATTAGACAAGGATACACAATCTCCGTAAGCCCTGCATCAACCGGCCGCAAGAAAAATTGTATGGTGCGCTGGGCAATTGATGGGAATAACTTGTCGGGAAACGCGTAGGATTGTGAAAGAGCCGAATTGAACTTAAATGATTTTACGTATAATGTACTGATGCCACTGCGGTCTGAGTCTAGTGCGGACCGTGGGGCTCCGACCCCCCTCCCACTCTGCAGGCCCTCCCCCAGGCCCTCCCCACCCACCCACCGTTGCCTGCCTCCCCAGCCGTGCTCGCTTGACAATCGTTTCCATGTTTCGTTTTCTAGAGATGATGAACGGAGGGCCGGCTCGGCGTAAGGCCGATGAGATAGACCCGCGGCGGGACCAGCCGTTCAAAGTCCTGATCGTCGGGGGCTCCAGCGTCGGCAAGACCTGCATACTGCGGAGATTCGTGGACGGGGAATTTCCTAGCAAGTGCAAAGCCACTTTGGGTGAGTCAGACCCCAAACAAATCCAATCTCTCCAAGATCTGTCGAAATCCACGAGTAGGGTTTTGGGAGTTCTTGCAGCGCCTAGGTACTGTAAATTGATGTGGTGTGTGGTACTGGGATTCCTGCATAGTGCAAATGTTTTGAGGATTCATTAACCCTAACCTTCCCAAATCTTCCAAAATGATCTTTGAAAAAACACCCACTTACAGGATGGCTATACTGAGGCCTATGGCAAAAATGTGTGGCTGATTTTGGAGGATGCACTGTGTCAAGGTTTTGGGCCGGAGCTTGTGTTGTTTGTGCTCAGCCGTGCATAAATTTAGGCCTATATTATACATGTACACTTCAAATCCTCCGCACTGCTCCAGCATGTCACTGGCTCTGCCTCAACATATTGACAGTGATTACTGGAGGATTTTGCAGGATTGAGGCAGTGGTCACCCCTCCAAGGACCACATTCAAGCAGGATTTTGCAGGATTTAGGTTGCATCCTAGTAAAAAATGCCTAGGGAGTGATGGGGTTAAACGTTCTTTAAAAAAATTGCCTAATTATTATTGAGAAAAACGCTGCAGCAAATCGCTTTACCACGGGATCGGAGTTACATGAAGTGAGTACAAATTGTAAAAGTTACCGGGCCAGACGTTTGATCCAAGCATTATACATTCTCAAAGGAAAAATACTCTTGTAGAGATTTGTTGTTGAGTAGGGAAGCCAGGTGTGTCCTGTTTGACCTCTACCCTTCAAAAACTCTTAGATCATTACCCCAGCTAGTTGTTATCATCGTACCAAAGTAACGACAGGTTTGGAGCCAAGTGGGAAAATGAAAAACTTCCGAAAGAGAAACCGCACTTTTATCTCGTCAAGTAACTGTGACCAATTGCACAATGAGTGTTGCGGTCTTGATGTTTTGGTCTCGTTGGTTCGGATATTGCGTGAACCGATGTAATTAGCCCGAGAGCGAACTTGGAACTAAAATCTCAGACAATAGAATTATCATTTTTGTTATTGACTTTTGTGGCGATATGGTGGCGCGTCCGGTCTGCATAATCAGTCTCTGGTTTATGCGCAAATAATGATCCGTAAATCTTTCAAATATTTTGACAGATTGTAAAGATACAACTTGGTTATTTGATAAAAGCAGTGTCCGGGGGTCGCACGTGCACATCATAAAACTAGATATTTGGGGGTTTTTTTGGGGGGGGGGGGGGTCAGATAGGAACTTGTGTGGGAGGGAAGAGGGCGCTATATTTACGGGAGTCAATGGGAAACATCATGCTAGCAAGCTGGTTTATTCCCATAGACACTGATGTTAAATCCCCATACTTGAAATATCTGTTTAAAATACTCAGAACTCTCACAGGTGTTCAGGCTACACAGAAAAATGATGATCAACGTGTCCTCTATCATTTTCTTTTCAATTTTTGGTGGGTTGACCGATAACTTTTATGGAGAAATTCTCACCCAAAGAAGACCACCCCTAAAACGAGTGATGTTTCCTAAACTGGAAAAGTAGCCCATTTGAAAAAAAAACCCAACAGGATCCCTCCACAACATGGCTAAATAGCACCACTTTCGGACCCAATTGCATCCAAAATGCTTAGAATTGGAAGCCCTAAGTCCAGGCCAGATGTGCAGTGCCATACGTATTCAATTCCCCATTCCATGGCTCTCAGAACTCTCCAATTATATAATACTTTGAGTGTAAATCTGTTATTCATGAGCTCGGCAGACCGACTTTTTGCCTATTTACTGGGGTGTACCCCTAAAGGGGCGTGTCCGCCGCGCGAGAAGAGAATTAGGGCGCTAAAACAATGAGCCAACCCTAGAGAGTTTCAAACGCAGTTCGAGCCTACCACCTCAGTATCCATTGTTTTATTTCACATTCGATCGACCGCTGGAAATCCAGTAGACAAAATATATAAAAATCTTGCCGCCATTTTGGTTTTTTTCCACCTCGTACCCACACAAGTCATCTTCTCAGATTCTATACTATAATAACCTCGGGCATGGTGCACGCGATACCGTGTGAAAAATTTGTATCGTTCGTCAGAGGAGTACAGGCAATAGACCATTATCATGTTGCAGCCATTTGATTTTTTTCCCATTCACATCACTGTTACCAAAGCGAGGCTGGAAGAAAAAAAAAATAGTCTGGTTCCTTTTTGCACAAGAACCAGTATCATTCAGTACTGTTATTGGATACAGGGAACATGACTGAAATGGTGGCAGCATGATAAAGGTCTATAGAGATCAGTGGGTACAGGTTGTTTCTGCGCCTCGGTGTGACGTCATTTTAACTTTTTTTACGGCACTTAATGTCAGGTTTGGATTTCAAAATCCGCTGCGTGCAAGTGGGCGACCGGTTGATCAAGATGCAACTATGGGACACGTCGGGCCAGGAGAGGTTCCGCTCCATGACCCAAGCCTACTACAGGGGCGCCGCGGGGGTCATGATCGTCTATGACGTCACGGAGGAGACCACGCTACATGGGCTGACCAGCTGGCTGGAAGATGTCAAAAAGGTAGGAGAGAAGGGGCGGGCCTTGATTGGGTGGCGGAAGGGGGGGGGGTTAAGTCTTTAACCGAGACTGCTGAATTTTGGTGGTTAATGACGTCACAGGGGAGACGCCACAACATGTTAGCTGCCAGAACTGTGTAGGGATGTTATTAATGAGTTTATGATGAAACTAAAAAGTTTAGTATAGCTAGTATAGTATAGTACGCCGATCGAACGTAATAATTATTTCATTTGAGAACTTGATTTTTTAAGTTCTGTTGCTGTGCTTGCTGTCGTTATAGTCGGAGTTACTCTTTTTTTGTGTGATGGAGCTAATTCGTTATCGTTTCGTCACCCAATTTTGACAGAGAAATCTATCTGTTTTTGCTCGACAGTATGCGCCAGAAGATGTAGATATCATCATATTGGGAAACAAAAGTGATGTAGTTGAACAGCGAGTGGTTTCCAAAGAGGCTGGAGAAGAGGTAAGTTAGCTATTTTTATTAATAAAGTTCCATGGAAAATTTAACTATCTTGGGCGGGCCGTAGTCTCCCAAAGAAAACGAGGGGTATGAAATTATGTAGTGTGGCATCGTGGAGCCGGACACGTCCGGTGGCGACGCCGAGTTTTCGGCAACTCCGCAGTAACGCTCTGACTATATAGTCGTCATGCTCAATGTCGATGGTTTTGATGTGGTCAGTTACCCACAATCCTGTGCGCTTCCGTGGGAATGACCTTGGTACAAAAATAATCTTTATGAGTGACTGGGGTTGGGATAATGTAGGAATGAAGTGATATTAGTAGGTTTTGAAGTTTTTTTCCAACTTTTTTTTCGAACACAGTTCGCGAAGAACCAGGGGCTGAAGTTTTTCGAGACCAGTGCGAACGACAACACGAATATAATGGAGGCCTTTGAAGAAATGGCCGTACTACTGGCGAGCAAAATCACAGCGGTAAGCGAATTAATCAACCATCTTGTATAGCGCCATCTCGTGATTAGTACCAGACATTGGTTGGCGTCCTGCAATATTTTGGAATGAATAACTAACGATTCATTTTATCTTTCGTTCATCAATTTCTACCTGGGGATAATCGCTCTCGTCTGTTTCTTTACAGACAAGGAAACGAGTCAACAGCATAGCTATTACGTCACCAGCAGAAACCAATGGCGACGCCACCAAACATGGCGGCCCGGGCCCAGTAAAGCCCAAGTGTGCCTGCTAACACGCAAGGGAGACTTGCAGACTATTTATGGACAAACTTAACTTCATTTGGAACTGCGAAGTTGGATGATAAGTGACAAGAACTCCCGGTAAGTTCTGGAAAGGACGCTGGAGATTGTGAAGAAAACCCTGCCAATTTGATGATGAAGGGGGTTGACTGAATTGACACGCCCCTTTAGGGATTCGCTGGAGGACATGCGAACGTGTGAGGGCGTGTTGTCTAATGACCTGTTGACCAAAATGAGGTGACGGATCGTCCGTCCATGTTTTGCCCATAAATTGGAATTCTTCATGACGGCCACTGGTCTTTGATGTCATCTACACAAGCGTCTCCAGCGTTGTTCGTATTCAGATCAGTTTTCTCTGCGCATGCGTACACACGGACGACTATGACTACACAGCGCATGCGTACATGCAGACTGACGAAACAGTACTTTTAAATATTTGTTTGTGTGGTTGAAGTAACTTGTAATCCAGCGAAAAAGTTGTGCCGATTTATCTTTTGGGGACCACATGACACATAATAATGTAAGTGTGTATTATTACGCCATTCGGGAAATTAACACGAAGCTAACTTTCAAGCAGACTTGAAATAAATAGTTTCTCAGGTTTTGAAGAAAATCATCGGGTTTCGTCGGAGAAAAAAAATGCACTTTAGATTAAATTTGTGCATGGGAAAGAAGTTGTGGTTGACCGATTTATTTTCGTCGGTTTCGGATCTTTGGTAAAATTCAAAGATATTCCTTTTGGGGGGAAATAATTGCCAACAAATATTATGCCAAAATCATGCAATATTCGTGAATTTTCTTTGTTAATGTAAGGTGTGAGTTGTTGATATTTTGAAAAAAGCCATTTGTATTGGATAACCAGACAACACCACTGTACATAGTTCAAGATGCTGAAGTCCATATAAACAAAATTAACATAATTAATGATTACCTTAACATTTCAATGACAACAATGCAATTTTTTAAAATTTAATCTTGTAAATTGTATATTTTGTATCAACGAGACTGTTTTTCAGCAGGATTATCATGATTATCTTCGCAAGCGAAAGAGGCCAATATTTTTACTTTCTTTTTGTAAATAAACACGACAATGATAAATTGCGTCTCTTGTTTTTTTTTAAAGTATTTATTTATATTATAGACAAGCAGCCTCGTATGTCGTTGACTACACACACGACCCGACAACAACTTTGTAAACAAATCTGGAAACAGAAAAGAACACGAAAACAATGCAAAGGTCTTTCGCTGTCTGATTGCTTCAGATATCAATAGAAAAATAGTGATGTTTACTTATAGAGGGCGCCCTTTGAAGTCGTTTGGCTTGGAGACAAATTCTATGCAGTCTGCTCGTGGTATTACGGAAAATGTTTTTGCATTTTTTTCTATAAAAAACCTTATCATTTCAATATTTATATTTTGGTGCTTTTTGGCGTTATGTTGTTATTGTCATTTTTTTTGTGGGGGGGGGGGATATTATGCGTAGCTGTGCCGAGTGGTTCTAGATAATCGATGCTACTCCATTGTGTCCCACTAATTCTAATCGATACCCATGATCGATTCTTTCTTTTAAGAAGCATTCCAGCTCGGCATTACGGCCCATCATGTTTATCGATTCTTTTGCATCTCACGGGGATGGTCTGTAGGCTACAGTGACCCAAGACACAAACACATTTTTGGCTGCTCTCACTCCTTACGTGCCCCGTGGAAGAAGAAAGCAGATTTCACGGTTTCAAGTGGATCTACTTAATTCACGAAACTTGGTTTCGACCTAAATTCCTTCAGTTGAGATTTTAATCGGATTAATAGTCAGCATAAAGTGGAAACAGAATGTAGCTTGTGTGCATAGACTCACTGTGGTTAACCATTCATCGAAACTTCAATTTTGTGGGAGGAAGAAATCCACATGATTGTCATGTCCACTGCGATGTGGCGCAAGTATCGCCACAAACTATAGACGCCTGATCGGGTGAGTTCATTGGTTCCGTTCCGTACACTGTACAATCACGAGGCTTCCATAATTTATAGGATTTGCTTGTAAAACATGACTGCCGATAAAACGGGCTACTATAGCCATCATTAAATGTGCATGTGTGGTACTTTTTCAATTATTCATTCTCGCACACGCCAGTGGTTGTGTATATAGAGGTTTTGCACAGTGCGAGGGGAAAAAAATGTTGCAACCTGACGTCACTTTGTTTTCTTATTATATCATCTCAATGAAGGTCATTCATTGCAAAATTTGATGATAAGACATGAATCTGGGATTGAGAATCATTTCCAATTTAGTTAGGAAATACTTTTTTTTTTTTTTTTTTTTAACTCTCCTTAGACTTTGTACACAATCGCGGAAGTGGCGTCAGGTTGCAGCATTTTTTCCCAGTGCGATTTCTCGGTTTAGTTGCAGTTCATCTTCTATGAAGCTCCACTTTCTTCAAACTCAATTTTAGAACATTCTTAAACCTTGTTAACCTTTTAGTTTGTTTGTACATTAAAATTGGATCACAATTACCGTTTTAGGGGAGTGGACTTGGTGCCGAAGGGAGGGGGCTCAACTATAGCGTCAAAAAAGAGAGTTTGTTCCTCGACCACAACCTGTATTGCTCGAAGCAGTGTTATCATGCATTGATATATTTCCAAGACCTTTGGAGACACGCATACTTTAAGCAATTATGTACATTTTCTTAACTCTTTGACCAACTTTTCTACCGTGCAGGGTCGAGTCAGTGAAGATCCACCGATCACCCAAATGCCGATGTCATTTCGCTCTCCAAACCCCGGGAAACCAGGAACCACAGCCCCGCCTGTTGCCTCGGAGAAAACTCGCATCGAGGTTTTCCTCCCGAGTTCCTCGGAGTCTTACTCTGAGAGACAGGACGTCGACTCCCTGCCGGAGAGCACCGAGTCACGGACAGTAAACGCCCAGGGACATCGCGACGCACCCTCCCCCGTCGACGGGCGGGAGTTCCCCGTCAAACCCACCATGGCTCATCCGCTGTACCAGCCTGGGCGTCGCGCCGAAGACGACCCGCCCAAACTCAAAACGCGGTTCGCTAAGTTTTCCAAACCCGGAATGGACGCTGAGTTAGCCGCAACACCGGGGACCTTGTCCGCGGCACCGGGGCATGGGTCGAAGTCTACGGGGCTGCCGAGCGAAATTGACGGCCTACCTGGCCCTGGGATTGGCAGGAGCGCTAAATTCTTGTCAAGCTACTCGCACAACTACGGGCAGAACGAGGGTGGAAAAACATGGTGGTCGGCAAAGTAGACAGATGCTTGAGAAATGCTCGCCAAAACTACGGAAAACAAAATAAATTTAACTTTTACAAATTAAGACATTTGACGTTTTGACTTCCATCATTCTCATTCTCGGGTACATACAGGTGTAATATTAAAATGCTGTATGCGCATGCACACTGACTTGGCCATCCAGCCTTTCTAAGGGACATATGATGCAAGAGCGCATGCGCGTGGACTTAGTACTTTTTTTTTTTATTCAATCATACAAACCTGAATATTTATATATTACTTCCGAACAGTTCAGAGTAAGAAGAGCGTGTTGGCCTAGTGGTAGGCACTCTTGACGCTCATGCCGGAGGTTGCGGGTTCGAGTCCTGGCAGAACCACATTAGAACATTTTATATCTTTTTGACTTATATTTATTTAATTAAAAAAGAGTAAAATTCTGTTTTATTTTATTTTATTTTATATAGTTGGGGTAGACACGCGATACAAAACTCGGAGCGCCGCAGGTTTCCCTGCAGCCAGTCCGAGTTGCCGCGGCCGGGACTCGAACCAGGGGCGCCGGCTTGCCCGTCGGCACCTCTACCGGGTGCGCTACCTGGGTCCCCCAGTGAAAATCACACTTCCTATAATTAAAACCCTTAGAATCGCCTGAAGAAATAAAAAAAATAAACACCGCCCTCACGATTCCAACTCTGGAATATATCAAGCATCTTTCGTACTTAGTAATAAAACTAACATTTGGATTTCGGACCACTTCTGAAACCGACTTTCGGATTTTCAATATATATCAAGCCTCGTTTCGTACTTAGTAATAAAACTAACATTTGGATTTCGGACCGGCGATCATTTAAGCAAGACTATTGAGCACTACAGTCAACACAATAATAGAACTGTACTAATGAACAGTAGAATTACATTCGAAAGTTTTATTGCAAAATTCAGTTTGTTCTTATTTACATACACTATATTTTGCAGACTCTATACTACATGTACATAAGAGCATCTTTACTGCCGCTACTATTTCGAATTATAACAATGTATACTACATGAGACGCGCAATTGAAAATAATGGTTACAAAATTAAACAAAATTACTTCTTTTCAGAAATAGCAAAAACATTAAATATCATTTTGTGCACTGACAGAGATGTATAATTCCTAACATATTTCTTGGCTTCGATTGGAGGCATCAAATCGACAGCTGCCTGCCTAACGTTACTATGAACAAATAGTTCTTTTAAATCATTTTTGTTGAAACAGGTGATTTTTGAAATTAGTTTCTACTCTACCAAATTTTAAAGTAAAAGTTGACCTCTGCAATACACGATTCGGAGGACCAGCCTCTACGTTGTTCACAAAAAAAGGTGAAAACTTAAATGATTTTTAATTTCTGCGGAACGAGCACATGTATATGTAAAATTTGGTTGCAAGTTAATACAGAGTAAGTTGAATAGTTTCTTTCATTTTCGTAATAATTGTGACAAATGTCAATTGACATTTAGTAAATATCTTAACTTTGATTAGCAAACGTGAAACGAAAGATCAGCATTTTCAGGGTTTTTTTACGCCATTTGAAAGTGACCAGCATGAGGTTTAATATAATGTATATGTACATATAAATGATGCTGTTTGTGTCCTGGTTGGTTAGTTTGTATACAAGACTCAGACGTAATTACTAAGATAATGAATGTCATTGAAAACCAGTAAATAATGTAAACAATATCAGTGATCTCGAGATATGAATGTTTCAGAGGGAACACAAACTTTCCTATTGGTCAGTATCGATCGTTTGAGAAAACCACGGGCTGGAATAACCAAAATATAAATATCAAAATAACATTGTATTGCTTTATGCTAAGACTATTAAAATATTACATGTACTTCTATATTTGTAGACTGAGATAATATTAAGAGTGTCGAGGTTTTTTTTATGGAGACAATCCTGAAAACTATATTTTAATGATTTTGCAAAGTGAGGTATTGAATTTCAAAATTGATCCCAGCAGGAATGATTTCTACAAAATTTTGATCAAAATATTAAAAACAGAAAAATAGCAAGTTTCTCTCACCACTCAGTAAAACATGCAGGCCGGCTGTTATACGTCATAGTTACGTCACCAGTTTTATTGGCATGAGGAAAACAGCTTCACGACTCAGTGATTCCAGATTTCTTCGGGGTAACTGATGTGTCCGGGGGCGTTGATGCGGACGGCGTACCTGGGCGGGCGGTTCGGCACGGGCGGCTTGAGGGTCTGGTAGCAGCTGGCCCGGTCGATCGGGAAGTGACCGGTCTTTGGGTCCGCGATCCGCTCGTAGTCTCTCACCAGGTCCTCGTAGCAGGGAGGCGGGTCGGGCCTGATCTCAGCCGATCTGGATCACAAGAGAGACGAAGATTTTTTCCCAATAAGTATACAGGGCCTAAGTATGTTTTTTGTTCTAGTTGGAAATTGTTTTTACTGTCTGTGGTCTAGATTTGCACCGGCAAAGACTAAACGATCTCAACGACGCAATATTAGGGGTACAGATGAAGCACTTGTGCCGCTGCTTTATTTATGCATTCAGTGCTGATCTTTGTTTTCATTTTTTCGAAAACGAAAGTCATACGTAAAAACTTTTCTTCACAAAAATGAACGAAGTGTGTTCTACGGGTGTAAACCATTGACCAGCGCCCTCTATGGAAAAAAGAATATCGACTCTAGAAAGTGGCTTCCACGAAATGTTGGATGACAACTGTTTGCTCGTATGCGGTATGCATGAGTGATTTCTGCTTTGCGAGTGGAATTGTAATTTTCCTAGCTAAATATTTAAAAAGAACTCGTGAATGTACGCCAACTCCAACAGACCGCCCTCTTGTGATGCTAATTAGCCATGCCATTGTCCTTACCGTTGCCTCGCCATCCTCCGCTTGACGAGGATGAACAAAATGGCGGACGTGAGGACGACGACAAGACACGCTAGGACTGATAAGAAGATGTACTGACGCTCAATGGTTTCTGGTGACAGAGAAATCAATATCATACAGAGCTAAATTAATTAAGAAAGTGAAAGATTAACAAGAATATCAGGTTTAGATGAAGCACATGCATGCAATTACTGAAGAGTAAAACGAGAAATTCTGAACCGTTACAAACTAGACTCTCTACATTTTTTTTCAGCAAATCTTTAAGGTCACACATAGGAACAGCCAATCAAGGGGAAGAAATAGAGTCATATTAATCTGTATAATGACCAGTTTAAAGATGCCTTTAATTGTGGAACTGTTTACTACACGGTGATCACGCACTACGCTCAAGGACACCCGTGTAATTATGACCGTACGCATCCCGTACACGGCGCGCAGTGGTCGGACTCTTACCGTATTCTACCATTAATATATTACCACGTTCGCGACAGTCCGTACTCGTACACGGTTTCTGCATTACTCGTACTCAGATCGTATTTGCAAGGTAGTGCAGTGTCACTACTGTATTTGCAGATACGCCTGTATAATCGCACTCACGTGTGGACTCGTACACCGGCGGAATTGTTAACTCGCACTCGACTGGGACTCTGAGTAACTTTGAATTGGCTTTTTTATTTTAAGCTAAAGATTTTATTTGGTAACTAAAAGTTATACCCTTTGAATGAAGTGAAACGCCCTGTTGTGATCTATTTGTGAAAGTCTTACCGTATCCGACAAACTGATCTCCTTGTGTCATCCGTGTTTTGCTGTCTGCCGCAACTGTGGGAAAAGAATGCATGAAACAGTCGTACGCATATTAAAAAAAAGAGATAAAAAAAGTGAAGCAGATAAAATACACTACAATTAGTCGTCTATATGGTACAATGTTATTTAAAGAACACGAAACAGCCTTCAAGCTATATATTGTGGATTAACAAAGATCTCAGTACATCTTATTCTGCATTTACGTCGTGTGTCGCGTCGTACCGTCGTCGCCTCGTCATTTCCATCTTGCAGATTTTCGTGCCTGAACGTCGCTCATTCCGTCGCCCGTCGCGTCGCACCGTCGTGCGTCGCGTCGTACGCTTGCGATTAATACGGTGGCGCTCAATTTCTTGGTCCATGTTGATCGTATTTTGCCATTTGTAAGCCCACCACTATATTGCACCAATCACATGACGCCCCTGTATTAGGCGTGGCCAAGGTGAGGGGAGCGAAATGCATACGTGGACTTACTAACGTCTCTTTAGTAATCTAAATCCGTTTAACACCAACAAATTTTGGAACCAATTACTCAACGCAAGCGTTAACACGATTATAAAATACTTTGAATAGTTTCTGTCTGCATGATACATACAAAAGTTACAAAGAATGAAACATTTTCTCCATTTTATCGCCGAGTCTCTCTGATTAAACTGGCCAATCCTGGGCAATCCAGTAACCAACACAATATACTGTATCGTCAAAATAATGTTATCATTTTAATAACTTGCTTTAGAATGGTTGTATTGTTATTCCTAGAATTTTTACGAATGGCGTCATTACCATGTTCCTAAGTATACAAAGCATGGATGAACAAGGAAGAAATCAAGGCCTGCGGTTTTAGTTCAGGAATGTAGTTTGCCACAGGAGACAGAGTCGGCCGAGACGAAACATTAAGAGCGCCCTCTATAAGCACAAGGGCAAATTTAAAATTGTGTGAGGGCGATACGGTGCTACGCACGACGCGGCGTACGACACGACGCACGACAGTGCGATGCGACGCACGACGTGAAGCATAACGTCCGCGTCGTGAGAAGTTGCCACGCGACGGGAGACGAAAGGAGTGACGTTCAGGCTTTCAAATCTGCAGGATGGAAAGGACGACGCGACGTGCGAGGACGGCACGACGCGACTCTCGACGCGACGTCAGACTGCGTACAAAACCAATGGAGAGCGAGCGACGGTGCGACGCGACGGCACGCGACGCAACGGAGCCGTCATGCCAGTGCAGCGTGTCATCAATAGTACACCATATTTTTTTTCTCAAAGCAGCCTAAACTGGAAGAATACACACAATAGCCGCAGACAATAATCCGGAAATTCATAGAAAGTTTTGATATCCGACTGCTGTTTGGACTCTTGAACAGTTTATAAGTTTGCAGGAAGTGGGTTGATCAAAATAGAAAATAGGTAGGAAACGAAACCCAAAATCTAAACTTATGACCCACCGGGACTGGCCTGGATAGGGGTATGGTCCGACTAAAAAAAACCCTTAAACCCTCCAAGTGGGGTGAGAGTTGGTAGGCCACGTATCCTGTGGTTTGGTGACAATGGCTTAATGTTTTCTGTTGTTTTGATTGATCAACATGAAATAAAAACAAAGAAAGTCAGCTCATTGGTTGTCAACTGACGAGGCAATCGCAGTTCCTGCAGGGTGTCATTCGATCGGGGAGTTTGCCAGGCCAGCTCCGGATGCTCAGTACCGGGAGTTTAGAGGCCTTTGGCCCGCGATGGTGCAGAGGGAGCTACGCGCTGCTAGTCCCCGTACCGTCTCGTATTATGACCCCCTCTGGTTTATTAATGTCTGTAAGAATCTTAAGGGATCTCCGATCATGAATCATCAGGTATAAATGTCACATCTCGAGGTTGTTGAATGTTGCAGGGTTTAGAAGCAGTCATTGCTAGACAGCAGCAACTTACTGGGACTCGACACCTATTTGTCCTTATAATTCGCAATCATCTTT